CCCTGACTGCAGGAAGGGACAGACCCCTCAGACCTAAGTTACCTTAATGTAATGAAACATCTGGATTAACAAGTCATTCTTGGAGGTCTCGAGAATGAGAGTGCAGCCCATGTTGGCCGTGGTGTTGTGGAGGTCAAGAATCACATCGTAGGCATCTTTGCCCCCTTTGGGGCCAAACAAACGGTGTATTTCCTGGGCCCGGACGACTTCGTAAGGCGAGTTCTCTGGCATTTCCTCGCTGGCAGCGGAAGAGAGAGAGGAGAGTCAAGCCCCACGTCCTCCAGGACTGGCTAGGAAGGGGCTGGGGGCCTGAGAGGGAGGGCTCCAAGGTCAGGGTCAGGAGCAGTGGGTGCAGGGAGGCCCCTGGGGGATGGATGGGGAGAATGAGTGACTCCGGGGGCCCAGGAGGAAGAGCGCTGGCCATCACGGATGCTTGACTGTCCCCTGGCCCCTTCACCCCCGACCTCACATGTTCCTACTCTTGTCCTGTCCTCCATTCTCAAAGAGGACCATGACCTCAGGGAGGGGCTGCCGTGACATGCAAGTGAATTGGATGTAAGCGAGGCAGGGCTGTGCAAAGGCACCAGCCTCACTTTCTCCTCCAGAGTCATCTGGGTCCAGGGGCCAGACATGGACCATGACAGCTGGAGATGGGTCCAGATGCCTTTCTAAGCTACGGTGCTCAACAGATCTCAGTTTGACCGAGGCAACACCCATTCAGTGATTAAGGCTAGGTAAGAAATGAGGTAGCTAGGTAAAGAGGTCCCAGCTCTTTAACAAGGCCTTCAAGACCCTCCACCAAATAGCTCCCACTTCCCATTCCAACCAACCCGAGCTGTGCCCTGTGCTCCAAACAGGACAATGCTTCCTGAGCATGCCCTGGGTACCTTTGCTCACACCATCCCCTGGGCCTAGAACAGTTGCAATACCCCTCATCTTCTGAGGCCAGAGTAGAATACTCCCAGCTGGGCGGAGCTTCCTGATCCCCCTCCCCCAACCTTCCCCGGCCACGTGAGAACGCTAAAATCCAAACTCAGAAGCTTGGGGACACCTTGCCCACGCATCCTTTTGCATCCAGATTATATTAATTCTGTGTCTGTGTCCTGAGGGCAGGGATTGGGTCTTTTCATCTTTGACTATTCCCCAGCACTCAGCATGGTGTATTGAATACTGAGTAGGCATTTCATAAATGTGTGGTAATGAACAAACGAATGGATGGATGAGTCATTCAGATGGGAAAGGGAGAAGTCAGTACACAGGACCCGAAAACCCGTGGATTTCCCACTTGCTTTCAGTCTCACTCAACATTTACTCACTCAAGGCCCTGGGGTCAGAAGGGGGAGAGGTCTTGCCTGCAGGGAAGCCTGGCAATGGGGAAGGGCCCCCTGGGGTGACAGGCAGGCAGTGGTCCCTCACCCCACTTAAGGTGCAAGAAAAGACCCAGGGACCCATCAGGGCCAGTGGAAGAAGCCAGCCGGGGCAGCTGCCTGAGACCTCAGGCTCTGGTGAACATGTGTGGCCTGGCACTTCCGTGGGAGGCATTGGTGTGGACAGCACGGACCCAAGACCCTTCATCAGCCCACTTGTCCTCTTGTGCACGTGTTGTATTGTATCAGTGTCCTCCAGAAATCATGGTGTTGGGAATTGACCAGGGCTCCTCAGGTGTGGTCCAAACAGAGCAGAGGACAGAAGCCTGCCACCTCCTTATTCTCAATCTAGCAGTGATGGGGTAGGGTGCCATGGGTGGGGTGCCATGTACTCATTCCACAACCTTTTTATGGGCTGAACTACTCCCCCCTTTTGGGGCATGTCATTCTCTCCAGTGACCCCCTCAGGCCCCTGGCCTCTGAGACTGGATTTCCTCTCAAACCAATCCCATCAGGATGGTGGAGGTCCTGCCTCAGCCTATTATAGCAGGAACCCTGGCATAAGTAAATATTCCCTCCTCCTCTTGGGAAACTGCAAAAAAGAATCAGCATTTTCATAGCTCTGAGCCCCCAACCAGAGAATATGCTGTGGCAAAATGTCATCATTTAAATCCCTCTCCCCCTTCCCAGAAGCTCCCCAGCCCCCACTGTCTCCTCGTGAATGCATTCCAATAAACACACACACACACACACACACACACACACACCACCAATGGAGTTCACAACTTTTATCACAATTGATGGCTGAAGAGACAAAGTAAACATTTAAACACAAACAGGCAAACACAATTTTAAGGAAAGAGATCAGGCTTAAGCATTCTCAGGAGGGAGAAAGACAGGAGGGAAAACAAAAAAGGGAGAAGCTGCCAGACCCTGAGGGGGCTTTCAGCCCGCAACAGAGACTCCACAATCCTCATGCACCAGACACTCACCCCGCCTGGGTCCCAGAGTCAGGCGCAGGCCCTGTGAGGCCTCTCGGCTTCCCAGGATCCCTAAGGATCATGCATCACGTCAGCCCCTTCCACCTGTCTCAAGGCCAGGCAGGGAATGCTGAGCGGTGGGAAATACAGAAAGAAAAATCAGCCTTTGGCCCCTGCCCTCAGGAGCTCCACTGTACAGAACAGAGTTTGGAAGGAGGCCACTAAAAGCCACGAGGGTCAGAAAGGCTTCATATAGAACCACACCCCAGACTGCTGGTCCCTGCACAAAACCAGAGGAAAGAGATACCAATTCATCTGACTGGGGCGGGGGTAGGGAGGGCATCAGGGAGGGCTCCCTGTAGAAGGTGACAGAGCCATCTCTCCACGAATCCCACTGAAACACAGGCACGGGAAGCCATTAATGCTAAGCCCATAGCTGACACTGCCTCTGTCTTCACTGGGGAGCCTTTGCAGCCTGCCAGGCTGTGTTGGGGCAGGCGGGGCTGGCCATAAGGCCTGCCCCAGGCTTGGCCGTCGAAGGAGGTCTGCTGAAGGATCTGGATGGACGCAGGGTGGCCTGTCCGGCTGCGCTTCTCTGCATGACCCCAGCAGCCCGCCTCTGCACATGGGGCCTGCTTCCACAGTCCAGGCAAGCCAGCTGTCCACTGACTGAGGCCACTGCCTGGCTGCTTCACCTGCTGCCACGCTCTTCTAGGGAGATTCTGGGACGGCTCTGGGGATACGGGCTCTTCCCTGTGCCCCTCAACCAATCACCACAAGGAGGCTGGAGCAGCCCTCAGACAGCTGGCTGTCCACCATTTGTTCTGTTGATCTGGAGAGAGCACAGGCCTGGGTCTAAAGACCTGGGTTCAGATCCCAACTCTGCCATTCACACACTGTGTGACCCTGAGTGGGTGGGCCTAGGCTGGAGCAGGGGCCCTTCCCAGAATCCTGTTGTTAAATGCACAGATGCCATATGGATGACAGAGAAAGTCAATTGTTCAGCTTTATTACAGTTATCAGAATATTGTTTTCTTTTAAAGTTCACAGACCCCAGGTAAGATCCCCAGCTCCCGAACGTCTCTGAGGTCCCTCCCAACACTGATGCATGCTCTGACACCCGGCGGTTCGAGGCCCAAGTCCCAGGATGGGGCATTCTGCTGCCCTTGTTGGGATACCTGGCATGGGTGGTGGACACAGCGCCCTACCCAGCAGTGCAAGATCATCACCCCTGGCGGGTAACTGCCCAGCGGAGGCCCGTAGGAGACCAGAGCTAATGTGCAGCCCTCCCACAGGCCGCTGCCGCTGCTCTCCTGCTTCGTGTCCCCCGACCCTCAGCAGCAGAACAAAGCCCCTTGAGGTCACTCACAATCATGGGGACCATAAATCAGGACCCGGCTGTGACAATGACCTCACTGAAAAGCCTGCTTCCTTTACTTGAAATTCACATTGTCCTGGAAATCCATCCCAAATCTGTCGCTAATTCACGAGAGCCCCTCCATTTACCTCCTGTTAAGACTCCACAGTGCAGTGAATGAGCAGAGGGCCAAGAACCAGGCTAGGCCTGGAATGTGAATCAGCAACAGCCCCTGCCCTCAGGAGGCTTCGGTGGGGGTGGGGGTGGGGCAGGACCAGAGGAATGCAGCCCATACCCAGGGAGGTAAGGACAAAAACAAAAGGAGAGGGGGCTGACCTCTGTGGGGAGCCTGTGGAGGGAAGGTCAGGAGGGAAAGCATTCCAGGCCTGCGGATAGGGGGAGACACTCCTCTGTGGCCCCACTGATGGGAACGGCATCCTCTGGTGCTTAGGCTGGGAGTTTGGGGGGCGGACTCCAGGGGTCCCTGCCCTGCATGTGGACACACAGTCTGATGCCCGGCACAGGCATGAATGAAGCCCTTCTGGCTCGGGCTCAAGAGAGGCAAGAGAGCTTGGAGAGAGTTCAGGGATGAGCACAGGTGCAGCCTGGCCGCAGCACACTGGAGACAGACGCAGTGCCAGGCACTGGCAAAGGGCAGGGGGACTTAAACAGGATTAAAAGTCAATGAGGTGGGTGGCCTGGCCCCTTCTGAGCAGCAAGAGCCACCGCCCCTCCCAGCTGGTCTCTGGGTGGCACAGCCCCCTGAGAGTGGGTGCCAAGTGCCCACCCCAAGGCTCATTTGAGGGAAGGACAGATATCCCAAGAGGTCACCACGTTGCCCCACTTGCCCTGGACACAAGAGCCTGCTTCTCAAATCAGTTTCTATAAAAAACAAGGTTTAAGCACTGCCCAAGCACAGTCCCAGAGGACTCAGGATGAACTGTGCGGCCCACCTCCAGCCAGAGAGGCGGTGGATTGGGAGAAGAAGGCAGTATAGAGCTTTGGACACGGCCAATGTAGGAATTTGTATTTTTGACTCGGCATATTTGTCACTAAGGTTTTATTTTTCTTTTTTTTTGGGCAGGGGGCGAATTGGGATGGAGAAAAAATAGTTTTTTGTTCAGTGAAAACATTTTTTAAGGTTTAATTATACAAACAGGAACATTTATGATATTATGAGCCTGATTAACTAATTGGTAACTGTTTTTAAGGCAGATCACCTCCAACAGCATCTAGCTCAGCACTTTGCAAAGTTCATGAAGCTCTCTGGTTTATCATGAACATGTGAAATTCCTTAGGGGGTGTGCTTGGTCAAAGGCCAGGAAGGCTGACAAGGCACCCAGGAAAGGGCATGGGGTGAGGTGAGCCCCCCCTCCCAGTATTCACCTTACCCTAGATGGGCAGGGTCAAAGACTCGGTTCAGGTCACAGTCGATGTACCGGGAGCCCTTCTGCACTGCCCGAGGGTTGGCGATAAAGGGCTTCACCTGCAGACCTGTCCTCTGCACCTCGGCTCCATCTTCTTCCCAGTGTTTGACCAGAAGCACCCCAGAGAGCTCGTTCCCGTGGGTGCCCCCAAAGATGGCCACCCTCCTCAGGGGGCTCTTGGCTCCGAGCAGGGCGGTCATTCTCCCAAGCTCTCCTTGCCAGCTCTGCCAACCCAAAGAGAAGATTCCCAGTCACTGGCCAGGCTTCTAGCGCGCCCACGGTGGCCTGGACAAAGTTCCTCCGGGGAGGCTGGCCGGGCCACTGATGACACTCCCTCCTCCCCTTATTTACCATATTTGGAGGCTAAGAGGCAAATGTCAACTCAAGATACTCTCCTTGGCCGGACTTCTGACTCCCTCAGATGGTCAGCAGCCCTCAGTGCACTCAGCAGAGAGCCCAAGCCTTGACTGAGACCAGACCTGCACAGCCCCAGCTGCAGGGGGTGGTGGCTCCACACGCTCACAATGGAGGTTATAGAAGGCCTTCCCTTCCCCGCCCAGCCGGCCTTGAAGCCCTCTCCTCCGAGGGCCTGGAGCATTTCCCACCTGCTGCCCAGTTGCCACCATTTAGCACCTCGGGCATACCCCGGCACACCCTGGGCAGGCTGGCCCTCAGCAGATACTGACGGGTGGATGGGATCATTTCCTGATGGGACAAGGACTGAGACATGCTGGCCTAAAGTCTCTTTTAAGAGACATTTTTATGAATTTGTAAATTGAATTCAAGTTCACTTTCTTTGAATCTTTCCCCACTTTTTTGTAGGGTGACTCAAAGTACAAGTAATGCTGGAAAACACACACATATTCCGTGGGGCTGGGGGTGGGGCAGGACCAGAGGAATGCAGCCCATACCCAGAGAAGTAAGGACGAAGACAAAAGGAGAGGGTGCTGACCTCTGTGGGAAGCCTGTGGAGGGGCAGGTCAGGAGGGAAAGCATTCCAGGCCTGCGGATAGGGGGAGACACTCCTCTATGGCCCCACTGATGGGAACGGCGTCCTCTGGTACTTAGGCTGGGAGTTTAGGCGGGGGGACTCCAGGGGTCCCTGCCCTGCATGTGGACACACACACACACACACACACACACACACACACACACACACACACACACACACA